GAGATTATCAGGGCAAGTACTACTGCTTCAAGGTCCTTTTGGTCCAGGTAGGGACACAGTTGGTGTATTAACCGAAGTTGGTACCAAGTACTCCTGGCCATCGCATCCACTTGAGATGACAACTGTAGAGACGAGTCCAGGAGTACATATATAAAACATTGTAAAGCCCTATTAATCCCATATGTATCAATATACAACAACATGAGACTTTATTCCTTCACAAGAGAGTACCAAAGCCACTCCTTTTCCTATGGCCAAACTCTTGTTACACATGTGAAGCATTTGTACAGGCACATGTGTACATACATATGTATACATATGTGTACCCTATAGAAGCAGTTGGAAATTTTGTCCAACACAAAAAGTCATATTCAATTCAATGTTGCTGAAGCAGAGTTACACAAGTAATGCTGTTGTGTATAGATATGCATTGCATTGCATGCACATTGTGCATGTTTGCCCATGGATGTCATGCCCTCCAACTGTCCTAATGTGACAGAGCCAGACCTGATTAATCCTCTGCCATTTGCTTTCAAAGTATTCTAGTTTCTCTCTCTTCTTTCCACTTTCCCTCCTCAGGTTATTTGGGTTGCTGCAAACTGAGTTCAGAGAGTGCAGAAGTAGTTTGCACACAATTAACTCAGCAAGGGAGTGAGGAGAGGAGGGGTGGAATCTTGCTCTTCCCAATGGGTTGAGACAAAAGCAAAATCTTGCATCTTGTATTATCTTCCTTATTAGTAACTCTTTCAATCTTGATCACACACTGATGTTGTCTGGCCACACATGTCCCAGTTTTCATCAGTTAAACATTAGAGGGTGTGGGATGTGCATGCCCATTTGGCTGTGCATGCATATTTGCTGGTGCAACACCACAATTAACTAATAAGGTGCTGTTGCACAACCCCATATAACACCATTAGAATAATTATGCTGTGTTTCCTCAGGCTGGTATCTCAGCCACTATTTCCTGGCAACAGCCCTTGCCAAAAATGTGGGAGGGTGGGTTTGAATTTCCAGGGAAAGGGATATAAAAAAGCTCAGACAATTAAAGTGCAAGATTGTTTGAGAGGGGAAATACCTTTCCTTTCAAAAGCTACAGTGAGATTTTTTTTTTCACCCATTGAGAAGGAGGTCATGGCAAGGGGAGAGGGAAAGAGAGAAGAATCCTGTTTTGGTTGTGGTTTTGTTTTTCACCCTATCAGAGACTTATCTGAATTCAGATGACATTTCTTTCCTAGGCACTAATGTGCCAGTCGAGAGAATGTTCATGCTAATGAATGACATGGAAGTGATGACAAAGTAAAATGCCAGTACAGCAAGGGAGAAAAATAAAAAGGAGAGTGGAGCTGTTAAGATGAAACACCCACTGTGAGCTTGGAGGCAGGCTGCCGGGGAGCAGGCAACTTCAGAACAAATCACTTTGAAAGACACAGAGGGAAGGGGAGAGAATCTCTTTCCGAGGACTGATGCATACTTTTTAATGATACAATTTTATTTCTCATTGCACATAAGGTGCTAACCCAATATAGTGAGAATGCTATATCCCCATCTTCCATGCAAATGTGCCCAAAAAGGGGAAATTGCTTCCACATTCCAAGAGATCTGAACCAATATTTGGAAATGATCTTCCATGTTCATTTGAAAATTGGAACAAATAATTTCTCACTGCAACTCTCAAAAGATGTGCTTAATAGCTCTGCGATTAACTCTCTAGCTAAGGGTCCTTTCCCAATAATGAAGCTGCTGGTCCTCACATCAGTGGGGCAGTGAATCTTCTCTTAATATCACACTACAGCATTATAGTGCTATTATTCCACTTGAACTGCTATGGCTGTGGAATCCTGGGATATGCAGTTTAGGGTGGGCCCTTGAGAATTCTCAGCCAGAGAGCACTTAGGCTTCACTAAATTACACATCCCAGAATGCCACAAGAAGCTACCATAGCAGTTAAAGTGAGAAAATAGCTCTATAACAGTGTCTTGTGATACTGTCCTTAATCTGAGCTTTCCAAACTATCCAATGTGCTGATCTCTATTCACAGCATAAGTTCAGCACCTCAGAAATTTCCTTTAAAGGTCTGATTGAAACCAGGATCATCCCTTCACTGCCATTTGATTAACCAGCTGACTTTTGCTTCATGTGTTTGCAAATATACCCTACAGCTGCAGTGGGAACTGCAGCAGGTCTGGGGGCAACTTCCATGCCACAGATCTTTTGTGGGGGCTTCATGAAGTACTGAAAAATGAAACAAAAAACCAAGTGGGTGGAAGCAGGGGTTTTTTTTTAGGGTTGGGATTGTGATTTTTTGCAGGGGATGTTGCTGTTCAAAGCAATTCTTGAGGTGTTGAGGACCACAAAAACATCCTTGGGGCCATAAGCAGCATAAGGGCCACACTTTGCTCACATGCCTCTATAATGAAAGCCAGAAAGTAGTTTGTTATCAGAAAACAATTGAAGGGAAAGCATAATTTATTCCTAATGCATGCATACACTTAGCTGTATTCCAGTCCCATGGTGTTTCATCAAATAGGTTTTGCAGATATTCAAAAATACTTCCAAACCTGTTTAAATCCATGTGAAAAGAGATGATGGCATGATACAAATTGCAATGGGCCCTTGGTATCTGCCAGGAATTGGTTCCAGGACCACCATGGATATCAAAATCCATGGATGCTCACATCCCACCAAATACAATGCCATAGTAAAATGTTGTCCCTTATATAAAATGGCAAAATCAAGGTTTGCTTTTTGCAATTTATATAGATATATTAAACATTTTCAAGTTGTGGACACACAAATTCATGGATACAAAATCTTTGGATAGGGAGGCCAACTGTATTATGTATCTCAAATCCCCATGGTCATGGAAACCCACTGGATAAGTCACACTCTTCCAGCTTCAGAGGAAGGCAATGGCAAACCCCCTCGACAAATCTTGCTAAAGACTTTATCACCTGGGGGGAAATTGGGGGTTTAAAGAGCCATTATTGCATGAAAATTGCGCAAATGAGGTAAAGATTTTCACATGATGTCACAATTAAAGAGACGTTATTCTGGGAATAACCAGGCATTAAACAACAACAAATCATTCATGAGATTTCCCTGACTTCCCTGATTCCTCCCATGTACTAAAGCCCTAAGAAAACCCCACAATAAGCTTACCTTAGGGGGTTTGATACAGCCCTGAAAACCCACAGGGTGACATTGGGCAAATCGCAATCTCTCAGCCTCAGAGGAAGCCAATGGCAAACCCTCCTGAAGAAACTTGCCAAAATATCCTGTGATAGGTTCACCTTAGGGTCACCATAAGACACACAATGACAACAACAACAAAGGACTGGCAGGTTTCCAATATCCCAAAACTTGAGGCTGAAATACATTATTATATTGTGCAGGAGGGTCTTGTTTTGCTATGGGATAGAATTATCAAAAGAGAGAAAAATGGTATATCCTGCATAAAATTCTAGGATGGGACCGAAAGGAAAACTAATGGAGCTGTAGAAAGTCCAAAAAGACAGAAGGAAGTCGGGGGGGGGGTGATTGATTGTATGGTAGATGTCTTCCCATTTTCCAGCTGGGGAAAGGGATGAGAAATTTAGGATACATTAGGCTCATGTGTGTCTTAGGGACTACAAAACTTCAAGACTCAAGATTCAAAGATAGTAGCAGTTGCTCTGGGGCTTGCCATGTCAGTAGGGCACTGAATCCTTTCTAGGTTTCAGTCTGAACATTACAGGAGCTACCCAAAGGTCTGAACCTATTTGGGGGATAAGGTTCAGCACCTTGGAGATCACCTTTAAACTTAGAACCCAGAGCAGATTCACCATCCCAATGCCATAAAACCACCAGCCCCCACTGCTGCAGGACTGTAGTCATTTGGCACTAAAGACCTTGTGATTTAAGCTTACTGCTCTTGAAGGACTGAGAATGAGTCCTGAAATCCAAGGCTATCTATCTCAGTCTATAATAATTTATAAATACTTTCAAAACTTTCAAGATAGCCATCTTCAAAAAACTGAAAGAATAATGGGTAGAAGATGGATGAAACTTGTTTTCTCCTGCTCCAGAGACTAGAATGAAAACCAATCAATATTAGGAACAACTTCTTTATTGTAAGAAACATGTGATGGTGGAATAGACTGCCTCGGAGGGTGGTGGACTCTCCATCTTTGGAATTCTTTAAACAGAGTTTGGACAGTATCTTTCAGGAGTGCTGTAATTTTGTATTCCTGTGTGCTAATGGATTAGATTAGATGGCTCTTGCAGCCCCTTCCAGCTCTAAGATTTTATGAATCCATAGGCCTGTACAGACTGCCAGAAATCATCCAGTTTGAGACCACTTTAACTGTCCTGGCTCAGTGCTAGAAAACCATGGGAATTGTAGTTTTTTTCTGAGACATTGAGCCTTCTCTTAAGCTTATTGCACGGCACTTACAGGAATGGAAATGGAAAGGATTGGAATGGAACAGGACAAAAACACATGTTACTGGACAGGAGAACACCACTGATGCCGCTGGGAGTCCCCAAGCCATTCCCCAGCCATTCCTGGCAGTTGATTTTGAAGAACGATTTTAAACCGTCCTTCAAAAATTGGCTGTCAGGAACAGCTGGAGAATGGCTTGGGTACTCCTGGCAGCATCGGTGGCATTCTCCTCTCCAGTAACATGTGTTGTTGTTTCTTTCCGTTCCTTTCCATTCCTGTTCCTGTAAGTTCCTGTAAGCTTAAGAGAAGGCTCAATGTCTCAGAAAAAAAATACAGTACCTATGATTCCTTAGCACTGAGCCAGGACACTTAAAGTTGTCTCAAGCTAGATTATTTCTGGTGGTCTGTATAGGCCCTAAGATTCTAAGACTTATGGGAATGGAAACAGGTAGAGAGATACATTTATTACTCATTTGCTGAAGTGGATTTAGATGTATTTCCTTAACACTGGTAGTTCTGGAATGTTTTGTCACAAAGAAAAGCCTGTTCTGTCCAAGTGAGAAGGGCCTACACACTAGGCTCCGGTATGACATAGTGGTTTGAACATTAGACTGCAACTCTAAAGACCAGGGTTTGAATCCCTGCATGGCCACAGAAACCTTCTAGGTGACCCTGAGCATGTCACACACTCTTAGACTCAAAAAAACTTAGGGTTGCCATAAGTCACACACATCAACAACACAACTCTTATAGCTAGGTTTTGGTTTTGGTTTGTTTCTTTGTTTTTTGCAAATGTTACTCATACAGCATGTAGCAGACCATGTAGATACAACTCCCATATTAGAACACTGTATGCATCAATCATTCTTCTTATTAAAATAATATGGTGAAATGGGAGAATTTATAAATGATGACATTTAAATTTGTCTAGTAAACATGGAGCTAAAACATTAAGATATCACTTTCAGTGAGACATACCTGGTTTTTGCTAACACATAGCACACAATTAAAAATAAAAACCAAGAAAGTGTCAAACTCTTGGCTTCTTCCATGGGAAGGAGCACATCATAACCTTGGGTCATCATAAGTGTCACTCTGCCACTCTACAAACTGCTATCTAATCTGTTTTTGCTGGAATGAAGAGATACATCCACAGAAGGTGAGAAGATGTGCCCTCCTTACTGTATCAGGCTTTTCACATTGCTTTTTTTCATATGGCTACAAAGTCCAGATTGGTAGGTTGAAGCTGGGATGTCGACATAGGATCCACAGGTAAACTGGTGTATAGTCTGGAATGTTGTCCTAATAAGCTGATGTGCAGTCTGAATCATGGGTTTTGCTGGTGCAGTATTCAGGTTTCTCAGGCTTGCCTCTAATTTGTGAGTGGTGAACTGTACCTTAGACCTGCACCTGGTACAGATTGGTGAAGGCAAAAAGCAAAGCAAGCTTGAAGGTTAGAGGAGGACACTCAATGGTAGGTCCCACTGAGAGGTCACAGGAGAACATCTGAGCCAAGCTGCCCTAAATGTCTCTCCTTGAACTTGAGTGTCTGGTCCAGCCAAATATCCTGCCAACCAACCAAACCTTCCTTTCTCATCTTAACAGCTATGTTGTTGTTGTTGTTGTCATGTTCCTTCAAATCATTTCAACTTATGGCAACCCTAAGGCAAACCTATCATGGGGTTATCTGAGACTAAGGGCCTAAGCAGACTGCCAGAAATAGTGCACATTAAATTGAGGCACTGCCCTGGCTCAGTGCTAGGGAATCATGGGAACTGTAATTTATTGTGGCACCAGAGCTCTCTGACAGAGAAGGCTCAATGTCTCAGAAAAAAATACAGTTCCCATGATTCCCTAGCACTGAGCCAGGGCAGTGCCTCAATTTAATGTGCACTATTTCTGGCAGTCTGCTTAGGCCTTAAGATACTTGTGACTTGCCCAAGGTCACCCAGTGATTTTATATGGTTGAGCAGGGAATCAAACTCTGGCCTCCAGGGTTGTAGTCCAATGCTCAAACCACTAAACCACACTGTCTCTGCAGCTTTACATTTTCCTTATCCCTGCCAGACAACCTGTCAGCCTCTCTTTACTCCTGGGAAACCAGATACCCTGGTAGCATCCACTGGTGACAGCTAGTGTGAGTATTGTAAAAAGCCATAGGGTAGGAATCAGGAGCAGCAATCCCCTGAACCCAGTAACAGAAAGTAAGACTATGAGTTAATCAGTGTTGGTTCCTCTCTCAAAACATGCAGAACATTTCATCAAACTAGATGTTCCAGAGGATGGACATACCCTATGATTAGTTTTCCTTCTCGTAATAAGAATTCATCACAGAGATGTGCCTTAGCAATGAGACATATAAACTGAGCCTATATGTTTACCTTCCAATGGTTATAATGGCAAGCCTTTTAGAGAGTGCCCGAACACAAAGGCATTCTCATACAGGGTGTTACTCAGTGCCGGGGGGGGGGGGGGGGCAGGACTTATGGGGGGGATGGGACTTCAGGGGGATGGGATTTCTGCCTTCCAGAGGTGGGACTTGCACCTTCCAGGGGCAGGACTTCCAGGGATGAGACTTCCTCAGAGACAGCTAAAGGCACAGGAGGGAAGAGGAAGAGTTCCTCTTCTTTTCCCTCTCTCCCATCTCTCCATGTAGCCTCAGAAATGGCTTTGCATGCCAGAGAGGGCATGCATGCCATAGGTTTGCCACCCAGGGATTATTCCAATGTGTATCTTATAAAACAAAGCATACCAAATGCATGATATCTAGGTGAGGAGAATCTCATGCTTTGGAAAACAGATGTTTAACATTAGGATGCAGGCATTACCTTTTATAAGATAATTTTTGCACATATAATTACATATAATATTATCACATATAGGAACATACCTCTGTACACATTCTGCTTTCCCAGGGCAGAAGAGACCATCCTGTTTGCTAAGGCAAGTTTAGCCCTCAGCTTTTGAAGCTGCACTACTCCAAAGACTGTTTTCTCCTAGGGCCTTTTGGCTGATCTCCAACTGCCTTATTGTAGACTCAGACCCATGTACTGCCTTCCCTCCCACAGCTGTGTCTCCTGTGGGTATAAAAGTAGGGCAGAACTTCTTCAACATCTTCTTCTATGGCAGAAGAGACCATCTGCAGCCATTCCAGAGACTATTTTCTCCTGGAGCCTTCTAGCTGGCCTCCAACTGCCTTTTTGCAGACTCAGGCCCAAACCCCCATCATGGAAAATTTAAGAATTGTCATCTGATGGAAAGCACTGAATCCGGTTCTTATTATTAGTAAAGTCAGTGTCAAGCCATTTTCCTTGCAACCTATTTGTTCCTTTTTTGTGGTTATACTTGTAGTGTGAAGGAGTGAGGGCTTGTTACCTTGTCTTGTAAAGATAGCACTGTAGGACTATAGCTTATTTATATAGTTTTAATCTCCAAACATTATGTTTGTTTTATGGTATTGCCCTCCCACTGAGTATTTTTTAATTAATTATTTTCTATTCAATTTATTCCCTCCGTCTTGTTTATGCTTCAGTTAAAACTCGGCAGTTTTACCCAAGTTGGTAGAAGTTACCAACTTAAGGGAAAGAGTTGCCCTGCTGGTTCTATAAACCAATGGCAACTTCCTACCTTAGCCATAGACTATTTGTTTTTATCATTTTATCATTGGAACAGAATTTGGCAGAACACTGTCTCAGAAGGAGAAAATTAGAGCCTTTTAATTAAGATTCTAGCTGCCAGTTGCCCTTGTCTATTTGTTTTGTTAATTTTTGCTATTAATTCCCGAGGAGGCACTGAAAAGCCCATTTCAGTCACTCAACCCCTCCACCAGTAAAGTCAAACAAGGAGTAAATGGGAGTCACCCATATCTAATCCAAAGAAGATGAGCAACACCAAACTATAAGCAAATATTCAAATTACTTAACTTGCCTATATCTTCTGTTGGGAACTATATGAGATGGTGTTTACCAGAAATGATTTAAGATGTGGTAATTACACCTGTTGCTGGTGATCCCCTTCCAAGCAAATGCAGGAAACAAGTAACAATCACTCAATATTTTAATAATAAAGTGGATGTTGTTACAACTGAGGAAGAGATTTTCAACCCCCCAAGTCCCATGCTTACTGGACACTGACCTGCGGAGAGAATGTCCAGACACCAATGGATGAGCTCTCATGGGGAAATTTTGCAGCAGAGATGTGGAATATTGACCAGATACCTTGCTCAGGACAAACACAGCCAGTTGTTGACAATACCCAATTAAATGATGCAATCCTCAGACAGCTGCAGGAATTGGCCCAAGATAAGAGGAAAACAGACCAAAATATGTCTACTGTACAGACAGAGAACCCCAGTGGAGGGAAACTGCCAATTGAGGGCTGGATTTATTTGCTGATTAAGGAGATTGAAAACATAAAACATCTTACTTGCAAGTAACAATTTGCTAACAATATTGACAAACATACATCTACACTTGGAACTAAATTTGATCTAACTATACACCCAAATCAGACTAGAACAATAGAAACTCAGCTAATCATACAAGATCCCTGGGCTTTTTTTTTTTTTTTTCATCTAAAAGAAAAACCTCTCCATAGAAGACCATTAATATCACCAATAAGAAAAAATGGAATTTGATATTAAACTTCCAAAAGTTAGTAATGAATAACTACCCTAAATCTAATGGTTTCTTAATCCAGTATGAACAAAAGCAACATCTATTAACTACACTGAGCACAATAAAACCGTATAAGCTCACAATAATGGACATATGCACATTGAATATATTTTCTACAATTACATACATACATGTGCAGTTGTTACCTTTGCTGAACAAGACACAGTCAATATGATTTGGACTTGCAGGAACACTAGCAGAGTGTGGAATCTCAGTGTCGAGATTTTTTAAGAACATTGCCCCTCCACAGGTACTAGTTACTGAAAGCAAATTAATCTGGAAAAGGTAACTACCAAATGAAAATGGCCAGCCATAAAACCAAATTGAGTTTGAAACACCTAAACCAGGGACCGGCAACCTACGGCCTGGGGGCAGGTTAAGGCCCCAGTCCCTGGACTTACTGGCCCAGGCCGAAGGTTGCTGCCACGCGCTGTCGCTGTGGTGCATTTTTGCTGCTCTGCAGCCGTGCTCGCCACGACTGCCATTTTGGAAATCAAAATGGTGGGTGCAATGCATTTGCACATGTGCAGTACTCTTGCACATGTGCAGTACTCTTGCACATGCGCAGTACTCTTGCGCATGTGCAGTACTCTTGCGCATGTGCAGTACTCTTGTGCATGCGCAGTACTCTTGCACATGCACAAACACGCTGCGGCTGCCATTTTGATTTCCAAAATAGCGGCTGCGACATGTGTCACCGCGGCGGCGACTGCGGCAGCCACATGTGCGGGGGGGTCGCGCACAGCAGCTGACGGCATGAGCCGCCATCCCCCCCCAGCCCAACCGAGACCTGAGGTATGGGAGACCAGCCCAGGTCTTTAAAAGGTTGCCTTCCCTTGTCCTAAACATATTCATCATGATGAAGTAAAGGTCTCGAAACCAAGAAAACTATTTCAGACTGAGAAAATTCCTTTTGATAAGGAAGAAAAATGCTAATGAGTTTTTCCTACACTCTGCCCCAAAATAGGAAGAACATCAGTGTGGTACAAATGTGGCAGCTACTGTAGAATTCAATCCTACATCAAATGGTATTCAGATTAGGAGCCTATATCTTCTGTTGAGGAATATATGAGATGGTGTTTACCAGAAACTTAATTTACTACCAGCAGATAACTCCAGAGAAAAGGAGCCCCTTACTTAGATTTTTAGAGGAGAATGAACTCCAGTGAGACAACCTTCCCTTTCTGACTGTCAACCAAATCAAACTAAAAGGGTAATCTCAAATGTCAGCAGACCAAATTCTGATTACAGAGCCATTAAGTACATGGAAGAACCAGAAGAAACCTCTGAAAATGTTTCAATATACTTCAGAGATCAGAAAGCCTTGGATCAGATAAATAATACAGAAGGGCAATATCACAAAACTCAAAACAAAGTCCTCCAAACTAAGGTAGTGACATAATACCCTCAGAGGTCTCTTCTGGGCCTCCAAGTTCCATCTCTTCAAACATGACAAAAAAAGGATTATCAAAAATTACATTGACAAGAACAATCTTTGATGGTTTTATCATGGAATGTAGCTGGTTGGTGCCACAAAGTGGGGGACCCTAATTTTCTGACTTTATGACAAAATACGATATCATACTGCTGCAAGAAACCTGATCAAGAGAGAGTCTAGATTTGAATGGGTTCTCTGCATACTCTTTAGATGCAGAACCAGCCTTCATGGAAGTTGACCTAAACAAAGCTTAGCTGTGCTGATTTCAATTGACATTAGGGCAAATATAGTCAGACCCACTTTTTTACATTGCTTAACAACAGCCCTGGTTATCAGCTTCTGATTAATCAGCTTAATGTGTACCTCCCCTCCCCCATCAAAATATCAACAACTGACCAAAAATAACTGGCTAAAGTTAGAAGAGTACATCTTTGAATTAACAGCCTTGTGCCCCAAATCTTACATTCTCATGGCAGGTGACTTTAATGCCAGAATAAGCCAAACAGATCAAATGCTGCACTCTCATTTCCAGCAAAATTCTCTATAACAAGAAGCTGCCCATTCTATACCAATGAGGCAGTCAAAAGATAAGGTGTGCAACCATGCCAACCTTTACTTAATGCAGCTGGTAAAGAGATTTGATTTAGTAATCTTAAATGGGAGTGTGGAACGTGATAGACCTGGAGAATATATTTTTCTATCTGGAATAGGAGCTACTACAATATACTATTTTATAGACTCACACAGTTTGCTAAATGCTATATACAGCTGCAATGTGAGCAAATGCCCTGAGAGTGACCATCTACCCATAGTGCTAAGACTCAATGTTGCCATTCAGAACATCTATACAGAGTGTACACAGATGCTAAACCTAGATGCTGAAAAAAGATTTACATTAGTAAAATGGTCAAATAAATTAA